CATCGACTAGGTGGGTCACCTGGTCATAGAACGAGATCAGAACTTGCCCTTTATGAACCCATGCTGGCTGGGCCCAATCCCCTGGTTGTCCTGCACGTGCCATGTGAGCACCCTCAAGATGAACCATTCCATAACTTTCTCTGGCACCGAGGTCAGGCTGATTGGCCTGTAGTTCCCTGGATCCTCCTTCCAGCCGTTCTTGTAGATGGGCATCACATTGACAAGCCTCCAGTCATCTGGGACCTCCCCTGTTGACTAGGACTTCCGATAAATGATGGATAGGGGTTTGGCCAGCGTCTCCACAAGCACCCCCAGTCATCGCCAGGTGGATCCCATCCAGCCCCACAGATTTGTGGATGTCCAGGTGGCAAAGCAGATCATTAACTGCTTTCTCCTGAATTACAGGGGGTTTATTCTGCTCTCGGTCCCTGGCAGATTGCTTGTCTGCCTATTAAAGACTGAGACAAAGAAGGCATTAAGTACCTCAACCTTTCCCTCATCCTTGGTGTCAGTGCTCCCCTCCACATCCAACAGAGGATGGAGATTCTTCTCAGCTCTCTTTTTGTTGTTAATTTATCAGTATCAGTATCAATAATGTATTCAGTATCTAGTTATCTAATATTTTAGGAACAGTGTCGTGTTACCATCATAAGCTTCATCTGCTATCTAGATCTAAGCTTCATAGATGAAACAACAGAATGATTAAACAAGACATTAAAAACAAAGCTGAAGCAAAGCATGGAGTAGAAATGCAGATGGCCCTTTATTGCTAAAACAATGAGATAATAAATTAGATTACATGTAGTTTCACCAAACCCCAAGAGTTTCACTGAACTTTAGCAAACTGTAACTTACCTGTTAGTATCTTTGCATCTATCAGCAGTACCCACCAACACCGGGTAAAGCAGAATCAGTTGACATTTATTTGGACTTTCAAAAATCTTTGCAAAAGCAGTAACAGAAAAAGTACTGCTGTTTGTTATGGCTTGGCCTAAGACAAAACCCAACCAACCAACCAACAAAACCCCCAGATAAATATACCTGTCAAAGAGTTGAAAAAATGGAAGAAAAGATGACAAAACTTACAGGAACACAGTTGTTTTGGCTCTTCAGGAATGAAGGAATACTGATATCCTTCAAAGTCTTGAGCAAGCCTGATAGGAGGTAAAGAAGGAAAAGAAAACATTTCAGTTCTTCTAAAAATGGATGCTATGTTGCTAACAGGCTCTTCAGCGCTGGTACCAGGCCAAACTCAGCCATCCCCGGTACACCCTTGTTTCAGAAGTTTGTGATAGGGGCATCCTGCCAGAATCAGATACCGAAGGAGTGATAACCCTGAAATAGTAACATACTTGAAGTTCTTGTTGCATATAAGATTTGGGAGGGGTGTTTGTGAGAAGAATGTTGCACACCCCTGAGCCAGGATGCTGTTCAGGCAGTAGGATTTGTTAGCTGGCGTCCTTTCCATGCTAGAAGATAAGCACTCCTCCAAGGACTGTGGAAGTTCCCCGACCTGCAACAGCTGTTAGTCTTTCGGGGCCTGGCCCTTTCTTAAACAAGAAATGAAAATAACAAAAATCCACACAATGTGGGTTCTCCCCCCGCTGCCATCACATTCCATTCTCTGACATACTTCTGCTTCAGGACAAAAAAGGGGGAATTACATCATTGCATAGATACAAAGCAAAGGGCACTGGCAGCATTGCTTACAGTCATCTTGCAGTCATGTTGCTTAAAGTGTTGATGTTCTCCAGCTGGTCTGATTATGGCTTTTTGCAGAATCCTGCCACAAGGACACTGGATTCACTTTGCCCCAGCACGGCACTGATACTGAGGAGTTGAAACCCCAGCTCCAGCTTCTGCTTTCTCACTTTGGTATTGACTATAACCTTAAGGATCTCAAGAACTCAGCTGATGAGATGGAGCTCTTTTCCCTGGTAACTGAAACGTACTTCTCCAGAAAAGAAAAAAAAAGAAAAAAAAAGTCTTTGAAAGTGTGGAAGGAAGTTCCATTTATCACAAGTCAGTGCTTTGCGTCACAGAAAAACAAGATTGTGGGCATTTTTGCTCTTGACAGGAAGCAGCAGAAAGGCCTGGTTTGCCCCCACTAAACCATAGTAACTGCTGATGTTCTTTTTTTCGGCATCATGGCTCTGAATCCATACCTTTGTTCTCGCAGCTCTCACTCATGCTTTTTGTGCGTTTTTCTCGAGTTTTCCTGCCCTTGTTTGGTGTCTCCCTGAGCTCTGGTACTTCCACTAGAGGTCGGCTGTAACACACCATCATCCAGGACCTTGCCAAGCTGCTGCAACTCAGGGGTTACCAGCAGGAAAACTCTGGTTTTCATCTTTTCTGTCATCCAAAAGGCAAAACCAACCGAAAATCTCCACCAGGTGTCCGCGGATCAAAAGAGATATCTAACCATTAAACACAAAAAACATGCTACTTTTAAATGTGTGGCTTGCCTCACAAATCGTGTGTGAGATCAGGTGGAAAGGACAAAGGTTTGGTTGCGTAAACTGGTCTGTAAGTCTCTCATAACATTGCCTAGTCCAGCTGAACTCACCGAAATACCCGAGATAAGCACGGGCAGACGTGTTTACACAACTAGGCAATGATGTAAATTGCCTTCATTGTAGGCTGGCAGTGACTCATTAATTTTTGAACAGGATTTTTCGAAACACATCTTCTAGGCTGATGCTATTCCTACCAAAGCCAGTGACAATAAATTTGCCATTGACTTTGACTGAAAGACAGTGTTTTGAAAATCCTGGTCTCTTTTTGGAGGCTCCAGAGTTAACAGCAGGGAGTTTCATTGTGTCTGCTGGAAAAAAGAGAAAACACAGGACCAGAATGTCTCCTTTGTCACTTTATCACTCCATTTATGGTTTTTTTTTTTTCAGCTGATAATATGCAGTATTACTTTTGCTACAAGGTTTAATATCCGGCTTGGGAAATTTATAACAGTACCATCTCATTTTATGCTTTAGGTTGTCCAAATATTTTGAAGCGTCTTCTGCAAGCAGCAGACAATGAGAACATTTCCAGTTTATGATGCAGAGGTTTCTTGGTCAGAGAACTGGGGCATGCTAGATCCAGCCAGGGCTTTGAAAAAGAGAGCCAACTGGATCCCTTTTTTAGAGGTAATTATGAGGAACCTTCCTTTTTTGGTTGTGTTAGTCCTAACCAGACTTCAGGATGTAACAAGATCTATTTCAGCAATTAAAGTCTAAAATGTTTCTTTTGACAAATAGAGTGATGATTTTTTTAATAACTCAGGCGTTATCAAACTACTATATTTCTGTATAGGCAAGAGCCCCTTTTCATCTCTGTTGAAAATAAAAAGTGAATGTATTGCACTTTCTTTACTAAATATTGCCTCCTATACCAAAACCATGCAGCGATATTCATAAGTTTTGTGGTTACTTTTGTGTCAACTAGATTAAGCCTAAAGTAGATCCCTGGCAGCAAAAGCTTTTGATAAAACTGAAACAGTGGAAAAAAGTGGATAAGCTGATGGACCTTCATTCAAAATTTGTAGAGGTAATATAACTTAAAGTGATCTAATTTAAAGTTATTTTTATTTATTTATTGTCCACTTCAGGGGAAATTGAAATCTCTAAAGGAAGGTTGCCTCAGGTTTATGTATCATGTATATGCCTGAATTCATTAAAGACCCGTTACTAAGGTGCTATAGAGATTTTTTTTCCTCCCTCTATCTCAGTCCAGCGGTTTCAAAAGGCAGTCTGAACACTTGCATAAATATTCAAAAGCTCTGAAGTTCACCTAAGTCAGGTCAAAATCAGCCCAGGAATTTGTATCAAAGGGATTGCTCAGAACATCTTTTTTTTTAACGTGACCAAGGTTCAGACCTGTGCTCAAAAGACAAAGAGAGATGCTCCAATAGTGAGGTACAAGTCTAAAACTTGTTAGGGCAAAATGTGCCCCCGGGAGAGGTTACTGAGTGACTCTATTTTGGTTCTAGCTTCACAGGTTCTCTTGATTCTGGTGATACGTTGCCATTTTAGGCCATTGTGAGGACGTCCTGCAGGACAGCTCTGTCTAGGCTGCCCGCCATTCAGCCTCCCTGGAAAAACAGCAATGTGTATTCACAGATCAGGCCTGCTTTGCATCCACGATGTGCTGCCTGAGGCACCCCTAACACCTTACATCATTGTCTTGCAAATGGTAATAGTAGTATTCATTTGTCCTAATTGCATCTTATTCACTGAATGTACCCTGCAGGGCTGACTTGTATATGCCCAGTAAGCTCTGATCATTCAGGCCTGCTGCAGATGCACGGATGAACTGCAGAGTGTGATAGGCTGGTCAGGTGTACTGGGGTCTTGTGACATTTTTCAAGTGAAATTTGAGCAGGTCTGGTATCCTCATCTGTAGAATTAATATAACCAGAGTTCTCTGCCTCTCAAAGATGGTGAAACCTAATGCAATTAAGGTGCTGAACTGCTACTATAGGACTGGATCTGTATAAACATTCCAGTTAGTAAAACTGATCAGGCAATCAGACGATGAGATTACTGCCTCTCATTCCCCGGGTGAGCCTGAAGCACTATGAACAATAGGGACGCTTTGTAGGTCAGCTCCCACTTCTACAGAGGAACCAGAAAATAAGTCGCTTCTCTGAAGCTGTGGAGGAGCCATGCCCCTATGTGCCCTCTTCTATCAATAAGCATATTCCTGCCAAATGAAAAGTCCTTGGTGAGCTGTCTGTTTCTTCTTTTAGTACTCAGGTGGTGTTGCGTACACTAGAGCAGCCTAAGCTGTGTCTTCAGCTGATGAGAGGCTAGTTCAGCCCTGAAATGCCACCAAGCCCCTTACTATTCTCTCCTCCAGAAACTGCTGCTGCAGCCCATCCAAATACTTCTGTCCTCAGGCTTGAAGAACCCCTGCTGTCTAGAAAGGGGGTAGTGGGCTTGTCACAGAGCCCAAGATGATGCTGTATACATGTTTGAGTTGTGGGCAAGCCTTGATTTAGGATCCTTGTGGGGCTTGCTGCCTTCCTTGGGGGTACTAGCTGGAGAGGGTAGGAGGAGGCTTCCCATCTGCATGGGTACTGTAGATGGCACAGGGCTGAATAGGGGAGAGGGTGTCAAAAAGAGCAAGAAAAGCGACATCAAAACACCCAGAAACAGGCAGAAGCAGACAGTGCCAGCTCAGCAGGGTAAAGCCCTCGGTGCTGTAGCCATGAACTGCACGTGGGGATGGTGCCTGCTCTGCTGCCCAGCCATCTCAGGATTGCTTAAGATCCCATCAGCCTTCTGTATCCTCTTTAGGCAGCTACTTGCTTTGCCTACACCTGAAGCTGACCTCAGTTAAATGGCAACAGGGAGACTTTGCAAACAGTTTCTGTTGGGCTGAGCACAGGAGGACGGTAGGGCCGTGCTGGAGCAAACTACCCTGTGGCTGGGGAAAAGGAACATGGAGGCTCCTAGCTTCCCACCCTGCTCACCTGCCCCAAGCCTCTTCCTGATTTTATATGAATTTTGGCTTTGCTAACATTTGAATTAGGGGTTGTGAAACTATGTGAAACTTTGGGTCCTGAAACTCTGCATAGCCTGCTTGCTGATGAAAGAGGAATGTACTGAAACTGCAGGAACACAGGAACAGCAGGAGCTCCCTCAGAGCTATCTATACACATCAGGTAGACATCAAGGAGGCAAAGCTCCAGATATCACGGAGATATTAAGGAGACATCAAGGAGACATCAAGGAGACTAAGGTATCTACACATGCCAGATGTTAAGGAGACACCTAGCAAACATCTGCAGGACTGATTGTTACAGTTGCAGAACAAACAAGAGGTTGCATCAGAAAAGGGGCCCTGGGTTGTACTCAAGAAGGAAGATTCAACTAGAGGACATGGTGAGGAAGACTATGGACAAGCACTAGAGACCCTCAAAAGAGCACCGACCCATTTAGTTCTGCTTGATAGAGCATGCGCAAGTGGGAAGGAACCTTCGTAAAACATTTCTGGGAAATCATTGGAGTAACACCGCCTTTTGGGGGGAAGATGATGAATGTATAACGAGAAAGGTCTATAAAGGCTGTAACCGTGCGACCAAAAGGCACGCTCACCTTCGCGAAATGATTCACGTGTGCGCCCAGCGCTGTAATAAAGAATGCCTTGCTTCCTAAACCTGACAGACTGGTCTTAGAGAGTTACCGATCTGATATTTTGGTAAGATTCCCACTGCCTGATTTCTGATTTTGTGTTTCAGTGTCTAAGAAGTCTAAAAATAAATAGAACTGTAAGGAAACAAAAGTGCTTGGCAGTGAAACGCCAGATGGTAACAGTGTTTAGTAGAGAAGCAGTAATGGATCAGAAGTTGTTGACTCCAACCAGTAAGAAAGTGGATAAATGAAATGCTTAGAAAATGAATGGAAAAATCATTTCCATAGGGTTTTAGATTTAATTTACATTTTTAGTAAAGGCTACTTGCTCCCCTGCCCCACCTCCCTTACTGATTATTATTTTTTTCCTCCTGTGGTAAGCAAGGTTCCATTTGTTTTGACTTTCCAGTATCTTTGTTCAAAACAGAAGATAAAGAAGAGTCCTGTAAAATGCCTGGTCTTAATCCCCTTAGAATTCCTATGGATGCTTTGCTAGAATTCATATCAACAGAATTTTACTGATGCAAATAATTGCTAAAGCATGACCATGTTCTTCAAATGACATACTTCTGATACAAGGGGCAATTAAAAAAAAAATCATGCAAGATTGCATGTGGTTTTTAAAAATTACTTTTGTACTGCTTCTAATTTGCTTAACCTGGTTTTTGGCAGTACTTAGATATTTAGTCTCCCCGGTTGCCATTTAAGATTCAGTATTTTACTTTTATGGGTCTCACAAAGCATTTGAGAGAGTACTCTTAAATTGTGGAAATCAGAAATTGGATGCGCAGACTTTGCAGCTGAAGTTGGCTTTACAATGTTTTAAACAATTGAATGGATTTGATTTTGATGATACTCTTAGAAATATTAGCCATTTGTGGTTTGTGTTTTTTTTTTTAATTTAAGACTGAAATAAGCTTTCTTTTATGATCCCTGTTTTGAGACCTTTTTCCCATGCGAGATATTTCACAGAGAAACCATTATTTCAAATCTTGCCACAGCGTGGAATTCTTCTGGAAAGCTTGGGAGACAGCCATCATCACCACAAACAAATGCAAAAATGGCTTTGCAGCTCATTGAGACAATGAAAAAAAGATCATCCTCCTTGTTTTTTCCATAGTGGCTTGCTCGCCAAGTATGATAGGTTTGATTTTGGTCAAGAAACACGTACATCTTCTTAAGGGTGAGGTGTAGCAGAAAAGGAGAGAGGGGATTACCCAGTAGTCTCTCCCCTCCATAAATCCCAGTTAGAAAAAAAGTGCTTTTGTATTCTTTCTTATCTGGTGCATTCCCTCCGTGTGCTGTGACAGGCAAATCCATTTCTACATTTTCACCTTGGAGAGGGGGCAGCAGACAACCCAAACTTTCCCAAATAAAGGAGAAGAGTAACAAGCGGTGCTGCAGAGGCTCCCTCACTAGATGCTCTGAATTGACTCTGACTCACTGCGGGGTGGGGGCTGGCGTGTTGCATGCTGACTTGTTTGCCTTGTGAATCTTTCACCTGTATTTGATGTGGTTTGAAACAAGGTCTCGGACATAGAGAGGGTGATGGAGAGTCTCCAGGAACATATGGCAGCAGTGTTCAAACCACATCCTGTGTAGTCAAGTTCTACCACTTCTCATGCCTCAGGACAGCAGAGCTGTGATCATGTCTGGAAGAAGATCGATGTTTGCACTGAGCTCTACCAGGCACTTAGAAGGGGAAATGATGAATAATCCTTAATTAATAATTATACCAGCGTTACCGTTTTTCAAAATGCAGTCTCGTGCTACTGCTGCTAAGCAGTACCTGCCCAGCTGCAATGTACAGTTGCATGCCCAAGCCTCATACACGATGCCCTCTCCTCCTCAGGGCTCACTAGCTGTGTAGCCACTGGTCCAGTCATAGCACAAACAGTGCAAGATTACACCTACCTAAAAATAATATGCGTACGTGCCTGTAGCAGAGCTGGAGTGTGAATGTGGCTGCAAGAAACAAAGTGTGCCCTAGTATTTACTGGAGTGTGTCGTGTTAGGGAATGGGTGTATGAAGGAGAGGGAAGGGAGGATGGTAGGATGTCTTGGTTGCTGGAGACCATCCAGCAGCTAAGCACCTGTGAACCTGACAGTGGATGCCTACTTTGTGCAGGTGCAGGTGTGTCAGCAAGTTCTTCTCAAGAGGAAGTGGCACTTGTGGGCATGGCCTCACCGAGGCTCAGTAGCTGTGAAAGCAGAAGCTGTGAGAGATCTTCAAGTTTTGGAGAAAGGAAACAACCTCACAAATGGGCTAATTGTCAGGGTAGTGAACGAGAAGACCTGCATGTCTGGTACTGGGGAATTTGTAGTAACCGTGACATGCCTTATGTGGCAAGCTCGGTGACTAATCCCCTGAATCTGAAGGCATCCCTTTGATGAAGATGGGCTTTCATTACA